GCAGGGAACATTCTGTCTGAACCACTTGGATAGTAAATATAAACCACCATCGTTTATAGGGTATTGCTGCTGGAACATGCTTCACACTCTGAAGGGGTTGCTTCAGTGCACCTACTGTATGTGACAAATCCTGTACAGAAATGTTAGCCCCGCATCTAAGAACATAATAAAACCATTGTTTACTTGAAAAAATAGTATTTTATTCATGTTGCCATTAACCCAGTATTGTCAGATAGTAATTTCATAAATCACCCAATAGGCCCTATTGCAGTGCTAAAGGCACAGAGAGCTGTGTTGGTTGATCCAGTATTTATTATCTGAGATCAGCTCACTAGTATCATAGATGAGTATGAATAAGATTATATAGAATTCAGTTGTATATAAATACACTTATGTGATTCAGTTGATCTCTTGTTTAGATAAGCCCAGCTGTGACCAATTATGTGACTGATAAACTGGGGAAGAAGTTTGTTGAGCCTCCTCCATTTGATTTATCAAAAAGTTATTTGGATTCCAATTGTACAATCCCCCTCATCTTTGTCTTGTCACCTGGAGCTGATCCAATGGCAAGTAGGTATCACTAAGAAAAAGATGTAAAGTATATTGTCCTAATTGTTAGAGCTTAATGTAGAACCTCAGCCAACGTTTTTGTTTTATTAGTTTTGCATGGGGAAAGACAAGCTGCTAATACACCAAAAGAATGGGAAACATATATAAAGAAGAGGATGTTTATAAATTGTATACACTAGGCAGATACATTAAAGTATTAGTTTTGGACAGAGTGGAGAGTGGTTGAAGCCCTGCTGTCGTTTTCTCTTAATGCTATCTGTCCCTCTGTTAGGAAGATTCCCCCTCTCTATTTGTCCTCTATTATCATTGAAAGTAAAAGTAAAATAGAATCGAAAACAGTAATAGAGAGGAAATCTTCCAATGGGGACATAAGTTCTGGTGACCTGGGGGGCCCCAAGGGATTTCCTTCATTTGCATGGATTTCATTTTACTTCCTCTTTTGGGTTTGGGACAGGAAGTGAAGGTAAATCCCCCCAGTTTCACACCAATGGAAAAAAATGACAGGGGTTATATCCCTCCTTTACTCCAAAATGGAAACAATTGCCTATAGTTCTACTTTAATTGTACAACCAGACTTTTTCTCCTATCTATTATTTGAAGAAATTACAGTCAGGCAGAAAAGTTGACTCACACATATCACGATTATTGGAACTGCCTATATACACAAGTATTGGAATTGCCTATCTGATTTGCAATTTGCTGTCATGGAGTAAAGCTGGCCATAAACAAAATAAATCTAACAGATTTATGATCATACACACGCAGACAGGTTGAACTAGATGGAGTGGTGTCTTTATTCAACCTAACCAACTATGTAACTATGTAAGGTTCCTCCATCCACACAAACAAGTTGGATGGAGGAATCTGTCCCGCAATCAGATTACACTAATCAGCAGCTGCAGCTGTTGATCGAGAAAATATTTTCAGCGTCCCTTTGACAGCCAAATTTCAATTAGTACATGGTCAGCATAGACCTTCTGTTTTGCTCAATTTGAGATGCTTCAGTTGACCTCCTTATGATCTACAATTGATTTGCTTGAAGTGGGTTTTGCATACCCATAGACATGAATAGAAAAATAAACCCGCTTGAAGTGAATAAAGGATCTAAAGGTCAAAATTAAAGGCCAACTCTGGTAGTGCATTGGCATCCTAAATAGGTGGGGACAAATTTATACTGAACCAGTTTACAGGGCTCAAATGATTAGATTTGATTATGTATGGTAATCTATGTGATGATAAAGGAGGTGGGTTAATTCAGGGCTTTGTGAATAAAACTGGAGGAAAAGGGGGAGGTCTTTGATACTTTCAACAACCAGTTAATTTTGAGCTGCAGAAAGGATGCTTTGGGTGCTATGAAAAACTCCAACATATTTACTTTTCGTTAATGTTATACATAAAGTTCCTGTCTATTTTCCTCATGCCTTATTTATACTGTGACACACTTTATTGTCTTGTTTTAGGCTTATTGAAATTTGCCAATGACAAGAACATGGGTGGTGGTGACAAGTTCCAGGCCATCTCTCTTGGACAAGGACAGGGTCCTGTGGCTGCAAAAATGATAAAAGAGGCAGCAGAAAATGGGACCTGGGTTTGTCTGCAGAACTGTCACTTGGCTGTGTCCTGGATGCCAACTCTGGAGAAAATTTGTGAGGAATTTACTAGTGACACATGTCACCAAGACTTTAGACTCTGGTTAACTAGTTATCCTTCACCAAAGGTAACTGGATCAATGATAAATTATACTATATACTACAGTACATTATAAATGAAATAAAAACACTTAAAAGAAAGTAAAACAATATCGAATAGTCCAGCAGCAGTCACACATTAATATGCACACACTGTTGGGGGCCAGTTTTGGTCAAAGCCAAATAGCTCATCTGTATGAGGCTCTGGTGTTTAGCTGCAGGCAAAGGGCACATGCATTCTGTCCAGCCCCACTGGCAGCAGCCTGTCAAACTCAGCTGGATGATTCACCTAGCAGTATAAAGGATCAGAGTAATCCGTGCTCAGGAAAAAATTCCTGTAATGTAAGCAGTCTGTGTTTCAAGAATTCCTAACTGTCAAACGGCCCTAAACAGTAGTACCGCTAGATGAACCATCCAGCCACAGCAGCTGTCAACCTCTCATAGAGTTTGACTGGCTGCTGGCAATGGCACTGGACAAAGCACCTTGCCCTTCACCTATTATTATACACCACAGTGTCATGCAACAAGGCTAAACAGCAGAATCATCTGAGATGGTGATGTCAGCTAACTTCCATCAGAGTCAGCAGCCTGGTAAAGAATTGCTGCTGTCTCTCAGAAGAATGTCTGAAAATTCTCTCCCACTAATGCTGTTGGCCAGGACTAGCTTGTGATAGCAGGAAGTGGAACAAATAAAGGTGATCCAGTTTCTCAGATAAGGTAATAGTATTTCATTACAGGTGTCTTCTTATGTTTAGTGCCATACAACAGTGTCAATGGTGTTTCACAATATAATAAATAAAGGGTTTGTTCACATCATGTCCCTTGTTTTCTGTGTGCCCTGTTCCCACCATATATGTGCTGTGGTGTGTGTGTAGTGAAGAAAAAGGCAGCTCAATGGGCATGGTGTCAACAAGCCCTTAATTTCACAGCCCATGTGGTCCCCTCTCTGTGTGACTTGTCACTGACCTGTATTATTGTGTCCTCAGTTTCCTGTCACCATTCTTCAGAATGGAGTTAAGATGACCAATGAACCACCAACAGGACTAAGGCTTAATCTACTACAATCATACCTCACTGACCCTATCTCTGACTCTGAATTCTTCAATGGGTGCCCAGGGAAAGAACAGGTGAGAGTTTTACTAAGCTATTGTCTAACATATAAAGTTACAGAGTATGTATGTATTTTCATCCAATGTTGTCTGTCTTCAGATATGGGAGAAATTGCTCTTTGGAGTGTGTTTCTTCCATGCTCTGGTCCAGGAAAGGAAGAAGTTTGGTCCTCTTGGATGGAACATTCCGTATGGCTTCAATGAATCTGATTTGCGCATAAGCATTCGTCAGTTACAGGTGATTTTATATAACTCATTTATAACTCATTTTATAACTCAAGACTATAATAGCAGGCAATGTCATATTAGCTCTTTATGTTTGGTATAAATCCAGCAGTGGCCTACATTTGATGTCCATTAGCAATGACCAGCATGTCAAACCCAACAATGACCAGCCTCTGAGGGCAATCCAAGGGAAACAATCAGCAAAAAGCCATTAGATATAGAGACAGAAAGTTGGGGTGGCTGTTGTTTATATACTTAAGAGTTGGAGGGGATGCTGTGAGCAGGGGTTGTAAACACTACAACATAAGAATAATTGCACCAAATAGGCACTTTAACAACTATTGAGATAAGATATCAGTGACATAAGGAGCTTGTTTTCACTGGTTTGGCTAAGCCCTAGACTTGCAGTGTGAGAAGAACCAGTAAAGCTAAACCATTGTGCAGCACTGCAATTCAAGAATCAGAACCTATGTATGTAATGGACATATAAAGCTGCCCCTCTGTGCATGTGTGCAGGTGGGTGAGGAGTACTGTACAATGAGTGCCTTGTTCATGGGTTATTTGTATTAAGCCCTGAAGAAGAGGGAGAATTGCAAAACAGGTTGGGTGTATGCCTATACAAGTATACCAATTGACTTAGCAATGAAAATGACCGGAACTCACCCACCTACACAGCTGTCTTGCTTCTGAAGTGACTACCCATCCAGGGACCCTCTACAAGCTGAGCCACCACAGAACACCTGCTCTCATAAGGTCCAGTACTACATCACAGGTTGACCCCAAACGCCCATATCAATATGTAATTATAGGAATTTTAAAATATACACAAAAAAATAAGGTCTTTAAAACATTTATTTACATTGATATTTTTTGTAATACTATAATAATGCCTCTCTCTCTCTCTCTCTCTCTATATATATATATATAGCTATACATTCCCTTTAAGAGAATTAAAAAATTCTTCATTATGTATAGGCCGGTCCATGTAATTTTCCTCTCCTGTAGTCCCCATAGAGGACAGGAACCTCCTGCCTTGAGCAGAGGTGAGAACCTCAACTATAGGCTGTCAGATGTTTTCATACCTGTAACTTGTCCATGTACGTTTGTTTTGTCTCCTCCTGTTCTGTTTATGAACTTAGCAGTAGCAGGTTGATTGATGATTCCTTAGTACCGCTTTTTTAAAAAAAAAATATTTAATATTTCTGTATTTCAGCTGTTTATCAATGACTATGACCATGTCCCCTTTGAAGCAATCTCATATCTAACTGGAGAATGTAACTATGGAGGACGTGTGACAGATGATTGGGACCGTCGTCTCCTACTAACCACTCTAGCAGATTTCTATAACAATGATATAGTTGAAAATCCTCGTTATTCCTTTTCTCCAAGTGGAAACTACCTAGGGCCCCCTAAAGGCACTTATGAGGATTACATAGAATTCATCAAGGTCAGTCACAATACAAGTCACGTCTGGTCATATAAATGTACAAGTTTAACTCTCTGATTTCTACCAGAAGCAGAAATATTAGCTTTGGAATGACTGATCTTTTAAGCTTATCATTTGTTCTCACTACATAAAGACAAAAATGTATCTTATGGCTGATATCCTGTGAATGTCAAATGCTTAGAATAAAAATGACAGTCATGTAACTATAGGATAAGCCAGTGTTTTCTTTATTTAAATACCTGTATACACTCTGTAAAACCCAATATTTAGATCTAGTTGTAAGTGTCCATAAATATGTATTGTTAGATCTGAAAAAATGTGTACCTGGCCATCTGGGCTGGGCAGCTGGATCACCTGAAACGTGAACACTGTAAATTAAATATTAGTTTAAAAAAACACCATAAACATATGCTTTAAAGAAGGAGTTGAGAGGTAAATTCAGTACATCAAAAATGGTTACAGTAGAAGTCTTTCTCTTAGTAGCTCAGCTCACCACGCTCCCCCTTTCAGGAGTGATTTCTGATTCCCTCTTCCAGCAGGGAGACAGAAACTGTCCAGTCCATGATCTAATAAAAAACTGAAAAGAGGAGCTTTATTAAATGGGGTGTGGGGGATAGTGTCGGCAGGGACAGCTGAGCTGCTGAGAAGATGACTCCAGTGGTTGTTGTGTGAATTTTGAGGATGATTTGCTCCTCAATATCTGCAGCTACAAGGTCAGAGAAAAGTTGTTTTAAATGTTAATTGTTAAGAATACATAAAATCATGAATGTCCATAATCCAATTATAGGTTCACTTTTAAAACACCCTTCCAAAATATCCAAAACTTTCACAACTAAAAAAATGACAGTACCTGCTTTTCAAAGCCTCCTTTTTGGCAGCATATTTTTCCAGCACTACAGGTTTTACTTTGGAATGCAATAATGACAAGAATATCCTATTGGATAACATAGCTTGTAATCTAATACTATGTGTTCTGTTTCTACTCTTTTGCAGCGACTCCCGTTCAGCCAGCATCCTGAGGTCTTCGGCTTACATGAAAATGTTGACATATCGAAGGATCTGCAGCAAACAAAAATCATTTTTGAGTCCTTACTCCTCACTCAGGGGGGGGCCGTCAAGGAGGCTCCTCTGGGTCCAGTGATAACACCTTATATGAGATAGCCAGTGATATACTCAGCAAGGTACGTAGTATAATACCTCCCAACAGTCCTGGATTGGGCAGGACTTTCCCAACTTTTTACCTTTGTCCCGTGTGGAAGGGCTTTGTCCCGCATCGCTACATCCATTCATGATACATTAACTTCCATGCATCTGCCATATCTCTGCCCATATTTCCCCGCTAGGTTCATATCTGTCGCCCACTTGCCTTTTTACACCTCCACCAGTCTGCCGTATTACTACATCCTCATCTCTCACTTCATTATTTATATTTCCACCTGCCCATCACCCATTCACATACCTATTCCACCCTGGTATGTGGCCGAATCTTGTTCACACATCTCCACCCCTTTCACATCTCCTCCACCCCTCCCTCAAGCAGTGAATACCTGTGAATGATCAGCCCTGGATGCAGACAGAGCCAATAATTGCAGGTAATCACTCCATTAGTGATTCCATGCGAGTGCCTGTGATTAGCTGCTGGAGCCGTCAGCCTATCGTTGCACATGGAGTAATTGAAGCAATTACACTGCAATGATCGGCCCTGCATGCCGGGCTTTTAGTGGGTCTTTTTCCTGCAGCTAATTGCTAGGAACCTCCACTGGGGTTTTTACATGTAATTGCACATGCCAATGTGAAAATGGAACCTAACATCTAATATTTTATATCATAATATTCTAAGGCCTCCTGCCCACTTGAGCTTCTAAACGCCTGGTTTTCGAGCATTAAACGTTATTTTTTCTGCCCTTAAAAGGCCCCTCTATGTTAGCCTATGTGCCCATGCACACATATGTGTTTAAAGGGGTTCAGAGAGGGGTGTTTAACTCTTTTGCTGCCAGAACCATTTTTGTATTTTTTGTGCACGTTTAAAAAATCATAATAGGTTTGAAGATGACATAAACATTAAACCCCCAAATAGAGCACGTGTAACGTGTATCGCTATCGACATTTTCATGCGTAGCCCCCCCCCCCCCCTCGATGTGTGCGTTTATATTCATATGTGCATATATCTGGGGGAGGCCTCAAAAAATTTTTGGCGGAGAGGGATTTTATGTGCTTGGGAGTAACGTTACATTTTTACAAATACATTTTTTTACTTTCCTTTTTTTTAATCACATACAGGGCAAAAAGTTCCCTATGTGATGAATTTTTGGTGATAAGTTATCTTTAATGAGACATCTGGGGACCCCGGATGTTTCCCCTGTGCTCCACTGAATATAATGTAGAGCAGATCACACTGCCTAACATTATTTCCCAGCCATGTTGGCAGAGGAAACTGACAGAGGGACAGAGAAGTGACGTTTTACACATCACTTCTGGGTCAGCAGCAAGAAGGGGAGAAGAGTGGACGCACGTCCACTCAGCTCCCTCCCCTCTACCCAGGGTCCCACACCATGCCGGTCCCACAGATGGGCAAGTGGAGCCAGGGATACATTGCAGGGGGTGCACTCGTGGGGGGGTCACCTGTTACCAGAGGGTGTGTGTAAGCAGTCAGGTAGCTACACAGTCACCAGAATTAATTCATCTGACAGCCAAAGTCTGCAACCACCGAGAGTGTGTGTGTAAAGCCCCCCCCCCCCAGCACCTCACTCCCCCCCTTCTCCTCCCACTCTCCTAGTAGCAAAAAGGTTAAGGGGAGAAATCTGAAAGCAGCAAAATCACGTTCAGGAGAGGTGCATTTTGGCAGAAACAAAATGCCCAATGCATGTTAACACTGAGCGCGTTTTGCGCTTGAGCGTTAATTCATTTCAGTGGCCAACATAAATTATTATTCTAGCCAATTAAATTAATTAAGGCCCAAATGCTTGACGTGCCTAAATGTAATACACAAGCATCAGGTGTTTTCAGGGGTGGACTGACCATTTGGAAACTCGGGCACTGCCCGAGGGCCCGGGGTCAGTAGGGGGCCCCATGAGATGCCCCGGTACCTTTTTCATAGGCTTTTTTGAGTTTGGGCAAGGACACGGGCCCCATGATCCCCTATTGCCCGGGGGCCCCATGAGTTGTCAGTCCGCCCCTGGGTGTTTTTTCTGATCCAGGAGAGTTGGCCAAAGCATCCAGTGTGGGTGAGGCCTAAAGTGCTATTTATTGATAGCAAGGTTTTATCAGGTTCTAATACAAAGCCGAGCTGATTGTGTCTAATAACTCACAAACATGCCTTTGTTTTTTTTTTTCTCTTTTTTCCGTTCATTTTACATATGTGATCTCCCTTTTGAATGTGACTGTGTATATATATATATATATTTTATAATGATAAGCCTATTTACACTATTTTTTTTATTGTCATCTTTAAACCACATTCACATGGCTGCACCCACTTTTTTCTGGCCATGCCCATATTTTTCACAGTGCACACATAGCATGCCACATTCCTCTACTTTAAGAATTTTCTCTTTTTATCCTGTTCAAAAATTGGAAGGTATGCATCTGTTATGTCACCCTTTCCCCCCAACCCCCTTCCTCCTAACACCCCGTAAACTGACCATTCAGCATGGTCAGCAGACTTTCTCTTCCTGTCATAATGCTCCCAGAGAGCTGATTACACCTTTGCTCTACAGGTAGTCACAGTCACCCACCCAGGATAGGCTGAGCAGCAGTCTGCAGCAGGTGTGTGCACCCCCTTCTGTAGAATGGACTGATCCAAGGAAGAGCTGTGATCAGATTGGAGGTGGCTAAGGTGTGGTCAGCACTGTGCCTATGCAGATGCTCCATTGGCCCCACCCTGGGGGAAGGGGGGGGGGGATTTCTGCAGCTCTGTACAATTCATTGATATATGTGTGCTCACATATTCATGTGATCTGTCATTACTGATCCAGGGTTGTCATCCTCCTCCTGAATGTTACTCCTTACTTATCACTCTCCTACAATGAGTGAGCAGACAAATCTGATCTTCTGCCCTACATGCTTCTTACAGGTGATGAGGATGACAACACTTTTCTAAACATATCAGTGGTGGCTTTCATATTTTTATCCTCACAATGTAAAACTGACAGGGGCACAGACAGCAATAAAAACCTGACAGGTGTTTTAATCCCTCTCCACTCAAAACTGAAAAAAAAAAAAGTTTTGACTGTGTTTTGTGTAGGTACTTCGTGGTGGAAGAAAAGACAATTGCATAGTCTCTGGTCTGCTTTAGTTCACCTTTCCCAAAATTTGCCTAAGCACAGGGGCGTATTTACCACAAGGCAAACAAGGCATTTGCCTAGGGCAGCATTTTTCAGGGGGGCAGCACTGCCCCTTGGAAGAAGGGACGGAAGAAGGGACACAGGCAGCATGGGGACCTGGTGGGTTCCGAGAGATGCTGTGGGTTTCATGACGGTGCATGCACAGCCGGACTCTCTTTCTTGGGAATGTCTAGAGCTGTGAAGGTGAGTGTCTTTCTCTCTCTTGCCTTTGGGGATGGTGGCTGGTGTATGGGGGTCAGTGGTAGTGGAAGATTCAGGCGGAGGGCAAAGCTGCTTGCAATGGGGCACTTGTGCAGGCTCGCTCCTCAGCCTCACTCTAACTGCTGCGCCTCATTCTCTCCTCACTAGCTTTGACTAACAGTAGCTGGAGCCAATGGCTCCTGCTGCTGTCTCTGAGCCTTCGAGGAGAGAGAGGAGAGAGCACAGTGCAGGATTGAGCTGCACACAGAAGGTTTTAACCTTATTAATAAAACAGTCTGCAACTGGTAGTAAAAGACAGTAGTTATTTTACAAGTGTTGAAAATCATTTTTAATGTGGTGCGATTGTCATACCTGTTGGGTCCTCAATAAATATGTGTTTTGTGTGCAGTACTGTGTATGGAGGGGATGGGTCACTTCTGTCTGCAGCCAGGCTTTCATATTGTGTGCTGATTGGGCAGCACAGTGGCTAAGTGGTTATCACTTCCGCCTGGCATTACTTGGGTCGTCGGTTCGAATCCCAACCACGACACCACCTGCCTGGAATTTGCATGCTCTCCCTGTGCCTGCGTGGGTTTCCTCCGGGTACTCCAGTTTCCTCCCACACTCCAAAGACATGCTGGTAGGTGAACTGGCTCCTGTCTAAATTGCCCTAGTATGTGTATGTATGAATGTGAGTTAGGGGCCTTAGATTGTACACCCCTTGAGGGACCGATGTGAATGTACAATATATATATGTAAAGCGCTGTGTAAATTGACAGCACTATATAAGTACCTGAAATAAATAACCTATAATAAATTAATAAGTGTTAAGTTAATGGCGATAAGCAGTGCTCAATATGACACTTTCTTTTGCAGCTTCCGAAGGATTTTGACATTGAGGCAGCTCTTCAGAAGTTCCCTGTGAGATATGAAGAGAGCATGAACACTGTGCTGGTACAGGAGATGGAGAGATTTAATAAGTGAGAACTCTTTACTTATCAAATGTATTATCTAGGGCTGTTATTTTATTTATTACAAAATCAGTCCACTAGGTGGAGCGTGTGTGTCTGTATTATGGGTCAGTTTTGGAAACTTTGTAGGGTCACATGAGCTCCAGCGACATTTGAGTTGCTATGCCAGGATGATGTCTGTAGCTGCAGGCATCAATCTGGTACCGTTTGTAGATCTGACTCTCTTTTTTATATCAGCTCTCTTGTAATAGCAAAAAGGAGTGGCTGACTAGCCGCACGATTGCTATTACAAGCAGCAGAAGGGGACTTCCCCCTTCCAACTTGCTTGGGGTAGGGGGGGTTGTGCTGGGGACATATGTGACATGAAAGGATTTGAGTTGGGGAGATGGGGTGGGGGCAAATATTTGTGCCAGGAGGGGGATTTCAGCAGGGGGACAGATTTGTCCTGGGAGGAGGGGGAATTTATGCTTTGGGAGTAATAATCTTGATAATTTTTGGGAAGGAGGGAATTTGTGCTGACACATAATGCTCATACATCTTGGGGGGGGGGGGGGGGGGGGGGGGGGCAATTTGACATATTTATCCTGGGCTCTAAATGACCTTGTCCCGGCACTGCATACACAGCACCGATAAGCCACAACCCCCACTCCCTTCTGACAGGCGTTTGATTGAAAGCAGCAGGAGCCTATGACTCTCAGTGTCTCCTGTGCAACCAGGAAGAGAGAGGATCAGTGCTGCAGCGACAGAGCTGGGGTGGTGGTGGGAGTCAGGTAAGGGTTTAGGGATGGGGGGGGGGGAAAGTAGTGGGGAGTTTTATACCTTGATGCAGAGAATGCATTAAAATGAAAAACAATCGACTTTAGAACTACTTTATCCTCCCTGGCAGTAATCCCGAGTGTGGCTCGGGGTTAATTTACAGTACCAAAAGCGGTAACCCTGAGCCACGCTTGAGATTACACTATAGTGCTTCTCCTGAGATCCCCCATCCATACCTTGTCCTGCGATCCTGCAATGTCCTCCCGCTGTGTCCTCCGCCCGAGGGCCGGCATCCGTCTTCCGGGTTCCATTCCCTGCAAGCATCGGGACGCAGGGGAGCGGGAGATTCAAAAAAGTAAAAATATGACATACACACAATACATTGAAATCTGTTAGTATTACATTACTATACCAAACCATTTCAATTAAATTTTGTCCCTAGTGCTTTGTCCAGCGCCCTGCCAGCACTTTTACCGTTCTTTCTGCCTGGAAACTTGAGAACGTCCATGGCATCAAAAAGCATCCCTTTAGGTCAAAAGCGGTTTTAGACCAGCTAGAAAACAGTGATAGTGAACTAGAACCACTTGCAGAATTGAGTGATAGTGATTCGTGGGGAAATTCGTCATCAGACACTGAAAACGATTCTGCGACTTTGCTCAGTGATGTGCAAACTTCTATTTCAAATTTCAGTGTTTTTGGTTTGATTACATTATTGAATTAAATTTGTTATTATTATATTATTATTTTTTATAATTATTTATTATATTATAATTTATGATTTTGTGTTTCAAACTTTATCATACAGGGATGTTTACTAGGCTCTTGCTTGGACAGATTTAAGTGAGTTATTCCTAAAAATTACAGGCCTACAATATAAAAGAACAAATTTCCATGCAAAACAATGTACCGCTTTGACATTCAAAAATATTGATTAGTTAGACCGCCAGGGAGGTTAAAGGGGTTGTAAACCTTAATTGACAATCTCTGCAGCTTTGCAGGTTCACGAAGTATGGTTCATCTTCCCATATTTAAACTTTGGAGTGTAGTAACATCCCCATGCGGGTATAGCTATCAAATATACATTACAACCAGAACTGTGGAATGTTGTTTACTAAAATGATAAAAAAAAAATCTAACATTCATTCAGATACCAGGTCCTGTTTTATGACAGCTATCTTGTGATTGGTTAATGTGGGCATCTCTGATATACAGTCATGGCCGAAATTGTTGGCACCCTTGATATTTCTCCAGGAAATCATGTATTTCTCACGAAACGTATTGCATTAACACATGTTTTGCTATACACATGTTATTTCCCTTTGTGTGTATTGGGACAAAACAAAAAAAAGGGAGGAAAGAAAGCAAATTCGACATAATGTCACACAAACCTCCAAAAATGGGCTGGACAAAAGTATTGGCACCCTTTCACAACTGCGGATAAATAAGAATGTTACAAGCATGTGATGCTCCTGTAAACTCACCTGGGGCAAGTAACAGGTGTGGGCAATATAGAAATCACACCTGAAAGCAGATAAAAAGGAGAGACGTTCACTTAACCTTTGCATTGTGTGTCTGTCTGTGCCACACTAAGCATGGACAACAGAAAGAGGAGACGAGAACTGTCTGAGGACCTGAGAACCAAAATTGTGGCAAAATATCAACAATCTCAAGGTTACAAGTCCATCTCCAGAGACTAGATTTGCCTTTGTCCACAGTGCGCAACATTATCAAGAAGTTTGCAACCCATGGCACTGTAGCTAATCTCCCTGGTCGTGGACGGATGAGGAAAATTGATGAAAGATTGCAACGCAGAATAGTCCGGATGGTGGATAAGCAGCCCCAAACATGTTCCAAAGACATTCAAGCTGTCCTGCAGGCTCAGGGAGCATCAGTGTCAGCGCGAACTATCCGTCGACATTTAAATGAATGAAACGCTATGGCAGGAGACCCAGGAGGACCCCACTGCTGACACAGAGACATAAAAAAGCAAGACTACAGTTTGCCAAAATGTACTTGAGTAAGCCAAAAGCCTTCTGGGAAAACGTCTTGTGGACAGATGAGACCAAGATAGAGCTTTTCGGTAAAGCACATCATTCTAATTGGCATACTGTTTACCGAAAACGGAATGAGGCCTACAAAGAACAAAACACAGTACCTACGGTAAAATATGGTGGAGGTTCAATGATGTTTTGGGGTTGTTTTGCTGCCTCTGGCACTGGGTGCCTTGACTGTGTGCAAGGCATCATGAAATCTGAGGATTACCAAAGGATTTTGGGTCGCACTGTAGGGCCCAGTCAGAAAGCTGGGTTTGCGTCCAAGATCCTGGGTCTTCCAGCAGGACAATGACCCCAAACATACGTCAAAAAGCACTCAGAAATGGATGGCAAAGAAGCGCTGGAGAGTTCTGAAGTGGCCAGCAATGAGCCCAGATCTAAATCCCATTGAACACCTGTGGAGAGATCTTAAAATTGCTGTTGGGAAAAGGTGTCCTTCCAATAAGAGAGACCTGGAGCTGTTTGCAAAGGAAGAGTGGTCCAAAATTCCGGGTGAGAGGTGTCAGAAGCTTATTGATGGTTATAGGAAGCGACTGATTTCAGTTATGTTTTCCAAAGGGTGTGCAACCAAATATTAAGTTAAGGGTGCCAATACTTTTGTCCAGCCCATTTTTGGGGTTTTGTGTGACATTATGTCATATTTGCTTTTCTGCCTCTGTTTTTATTTTGTTCCAATACATACAAAGGGAATAAACATGTGTATAGCAAAACATGTGTTAATGCAATACCTTTTTTGTGTGAAATACTTGATTTTCAGGAAAAATATCAAGGGTGCCAACAATTTCGGCCATGACTGTATTCAAACATATTTCTTTCTTAATTGTGCTACATATTCAAAAAAATTCCTTCCTTCGAAAAAAATCACACATTTCTTGTCCTTGTATTCTTTCTTTGAGACCACTCACAAATATATTTTCTTCTTTCCAAATCTCTTCAGTTTAATCCGAACTATCAGGACCACACTTCAAAATCTACAGAAAGCCATCAAAGGTCTGGTGTGATGGATTCAGAACTGGAGGCTCTGTCTAGCAGTTTAATTGTAGGGAAAGTTCCTGAAACATGGGCCAAGCGTTCTTACCCCAGCCTAAAACCTCTGGGAAGTTACATCAATGATTTCCTGGCCCGGCTGAAGTTCTTACAGGTAAGAACACATGGCTGATTTATTCAAGGCATACAGCGGTCAAACATGAACATTTTACATTTAAAGGGATCCTGGAATAAAGAAGAAAGAGGCTTCCATTGCTGCCCTTCTAAAAATTCTAGCCAGCTGCTCTTCTCTTAAAAAAACAAACTTACAGCTTCCCTGTATGTGCCAAGTGTCTCCAGTTTTTTATAATGACATTCCTTATGTAGTTGGCTTCCCACCCTCTAAGTCCCCAAGACTGCTGGTGTCCCTATTTTGTGATTAGCCCCAGATATGCGAGAATGCAGGCCAATGTGTTCCTAGCTTCCAATCCCTGCCCTCTGGAGTTCTTAGAAATCAATAGAACCAGATTTCAGAAAATTAAGGGGCTTCCCAGTGGCAATGTAAAAAGCTTGGTGAATCTGGCTGCAACTAAATATATAATTCAGACTGAAGCTGGCCATACACGGAACACATTTTGGACAATTCATGAAATTTGCTGTATGGGTGGCCCTGTTGGTATCCTCTGCTCAAAGTCCCTCAATTGCAAAACATCTTCATCATAGGAGCCAGGTCCAAAATTGTCAGCTGAACGACTTCTTTTAAGGTACCAGGAGATTCAATTGCTGCGTAGCATGGATGGAGGAAAGTGTTAGATTTTTTTTGTGTGTGTTTGGCCAGTTTAAAGAAGTAGTAGTAATCACTTCTTGGTGACTTTTACCTACAGGTAATGTTATAATTAAATTAAGCTGTAGGTACAAGGAATGTCTCCCAAACGTGAACTGTTAAGGAGATATTCACTATTTCTGCACTATTACAGGCCGTTGCACACTGTGCTCTGAATGGACAGCATACTGAGGGTGCCATCCATTCAGAGCTTTGTGCCGCCATTGTGGCTCCCATATGCTTACGTGGGAGTGACATCATCGTGGCTCGGCTAGTCAAACAGTCGGAGCCTGTGAACCCAGAAGGAAGACTGAGTAATGATGGACGCCCTGGCAGAGGTGACACCGTGCTGCTGGAGGGTTTTGTTTTTAGGTAAGTATTTAATAATGTGTTAGTATGCAGTACATACTAGCACCTTATGCAATTGACTTGCAGGGGGAATGTTTTTTTGGGGGGTTTTCTTTTCCAGACTGTACTACCGCTTTATAGAAAGGACAGTTTAGAGGACTCAGGAACAGAGGGATTCCTTACTGTAATTGGCAGTTCACTAATTTATTTTACAAGGAGATTGTTTTTTACACTTTTATTACAAATGAATATACTGTACATCAGTATTCATATATAGTGCTGTGAAAATGTATTTGCCCCTTCCTGATTTTTGTTTTTTTTTTTTTTGCATATTTGTCACACATAAATGATTCAGATAATCAAACAAATTTTAATATTACACAAAGATAACCCTAGTAAATACAAAATGCAGTTTTGAAATGATGATTTCATTTAGTCAGGGAAAAAAGCTGTCCAGAAAGCTGTCCAAACCTGCCTGGCCCTATGTGAAAAAGTAATTGCCCTAAATCTAAAAACTGGTTTTGCCACCTTTGGCGGCAACAACTGCAAACAAGCTTTTTCAATAACTGGCAATGAGCACGAACGGCCTGTTTAAGGTCATGCCACAGCATCTCAATTGGATTGAAGTCTGGACTTTGACTAGGCCACTCCAAAACTTTAATTGTATTTTTTTGAGCCATTCAGAGGTGGACTTGCTGGTGTGTTGCGGATACTTGTCCTGCTGCATACCCCAAGTGCGCTTGAGGTCACAAACTGATGGTCGGATATTCTTCTTCAGGATTTTCTGATAGGGCACAGAATTCATGGTTCCATCAATTATGGCAAGTCATCAAAAGCAGCCCCTGACCATCACACTACCACCACCATATTTGACTGTTGGTATGATGATCTTTTTATGAGATGCTGTTAGTTTTATGCCAGCTGTAAGATGGTGCACACCTTCCAAAAAGTTCAACATTTGTCTCATCAGTCCACAGAATATTTGCCCAAAAGTCTAATCAATATATTTTTTGGCAAATGTGGAATGAGCCTTTGTGTTCTTTTTGGTCAGCAGTGGCTTTTGCCTTGGAACTCTCCCATAGATGCCATTTTTGCCCAGTCTTTTTCTTATTGTTTAATCATAAACACTGACCTTAACTGAGGTAACTGAGGCCTGCAGTTCTTTAGATGTTGTTCTGGGTTCTTTTATGACCTCCTGGATGAGTCGTCATTGTGCTCTTGGATTAAATTTTGTAGGCTGGCCACTCCTGAGAAGGTTCATCATTGACCAAGTTTGTGGATAGTGGCTCTCACTGTGGTTTGCTGGAGTCCCAAGGCCTTAGAAATGGCTTTGTAACCGTTTCCAGACTGATACATGTCAATTTCTCATCTGTTCTTTGATTTCTTTAGATTGTGACATGATGTGTTGCTTTTTGAGATCTTTTAGATAATCACAACACTGTATATGAATATACAGTCAGGTCCATAAATATTGGGACATCAACACAATTCTAACATTTTTGGCTCTATATACCACCACAATGGATTTGAAATGAAACAAACAAGATGTGCTTTAACTGCAGACTGTCAGCTTTAATTTGAGGGTATTTACATCCAAATCAGGTGAACAGTGTAGGAATTACAACAGTTTGCATATGTACTGCCCACTTGTTAAAGGGACCAAAAGTAATGGGACAATTGGCTTCTCAGCTGTTCCATGGCCAGGTGTGTGTTATTTCCTCATTATCCCAATTACAATGAGCAGATAAAAGGTCCAGAGTTCATTTCAAGTGTGCTATTTGCATTTGGAATCTGTTGCTGTCAACTCTCAAGATGAGATCCAAAGAGCTGTCACTATCAGTGAACCAAGCCATCATTAGGCTGAAAAAACCAAACAAACCCATCAGAGAGATAGCAAAAACATTAGGAGAGGCCAAAACAACTGTTTGGAACATTCTTAAAAAGAAGGAACGCACCGGTGAGCTCAGCAACACCAAAAGACCTGGAAGACCATGGAAAACAACTGTGGTGGATGAGCGAAGAATTCTTTCCCTGGTGAAGAAAACACCCTTCACAACAGTTGGCCAGATCAAGAACACTCTCCAGGAGGTAGGTGTATGTGTGTCAAAGTCAACAATCAAGAGAAGACTTCACCAGAGTGAATACAGAGGGTTCACCACAAGATGTAAACCATTGGTAAGCCTCAAAAACAGGAAGGCCAGATTAGAGTTTGCCAAACAACATCTAAAAAAGCCTTCACAGTTCTGGAACAACATCCTATGGACAGATGAGACCAAGATCAACTTGTACCAGAGTGATGGGAAGAGAAGAGTATGGAGAAGGAAAGGAACTGCTCATGATCCTAAGCATACCACCTCATCAGTGAAGCATGGTGGTGGTAGTGTCATGGCGTGGGGCATGTATGGCTGCCAATGGAACTGGTTCTCTTGTATTTATTGATGATGTGACTGCTGACAAAAGCAGCAGGATGAATTCTGAAGTGTTTCGGGCAATATTATCTGCTCATATCCAGCCAAATGCTTCACAACTCATTGGACGCCGCTTCACAGTGCAGATGGACAATGACCCAAAGCATACTGCAAAAGCAACCAAAGAGTTTTTTAATTGAAAGAAGTGGAATGTTATGCAATGGCCAAGTCAATCCCCTGACCTGAATCCGATTGAGCATGCATTTCACTTGCTGAAGACAAAACTGAAGGGAAAATGCCCCAAGAACAAGCAGGAACCAGGGATGAAACCCAGCGTCTGGTGATGTCTATGCGTTCCACACTTCAGGCTGTAATTGACTGCAAAGGATTTGCAACCAAGTATTAAATAGTGAAAGTTTGATTTATAATTATTATTCTGTCCCATTACTTTTGGTCCCTTAATAAGTGGGAGGCACATATGCAAACTGCTGTAATTCCTACACCATTCACCTGATTTGGATGTAATTACCCTCAAATTAAAGCTGACAGTCTGCAGTTAAAGCATATCTTATTCGTTTCATTTCAAATCCATTGTGGTGGTGTATAGAGCCAAAAATGTTAGAATTGTGTCAATGTCCCAATATTTATGGACCTGACTGTATATTCATATACAGTGTTGTGATTATCTAAAAGATCTCAAAAAGCAACACATCATGTCACAATCTAAAGAAATCTGACTGTACATTTAAATATTTATCGAGGCATATATAGTATTATAACATATTGAATATAGTCATTTATATGATCTAGTGTTATAATGATTGTGTGATTGTGATATCTGCTTTTAAATTTTCATGATCTGCTATTCCAATCTGAAATATTCATGTGATTTTTTTTTCTAGAACTGGTGTGACTCTGGCAAGCCACATGTGTTCTGGCTGTCAGGGTTTTTCTTCACACAAGCATTTTTAACCGGAGCCATGCAGAATTATGCAAGAAAATACCAAATTCCCATTGATCTTCTAGCATATGAGTTTCAGGTAGGTTTATAAAAAAACCTGTAATTTATAAACTGATTAATTATTACAGCTATTTATAGAAGAAAGAGGAAACGGGAGATGGAGACCCAAATTCAGGTCTCATCCTCTTGCTTAAGGGATTTATTGGTGGCACACCCCTTAATAATAAGACACTGAAAATAACATCCCTAACTTAAAAAAGTAATGGGGTTTTGTAGGCACCATACCACAAAAATAATCAAAAGTTGTAACAAATACAACTTTATTTATAAAATTGAAATCCCTATTGTGGTAATAGGAATTGAGCACATAATACATTCATCTTAACTTGTATTGTTGATAACAGGCATAATTGATATACATCACTGCAAAATACGACCTAAAGTAGCTTGGGTATCATAACTGCAGGAGGCCAGTGGATTACAAAGTATCGGTGTCCACCAAAAAGGCATAGTTTACTAGTCCACAACAGGAGACTGTAAAATGTCAAAAGGATCAAAATGTTGTTTTGACATTTCAAAGTCATTGATGTCATTTAGGTAATATGATAACAGAACATGTTAGATTTGTTTATTGTGATTTTATTATGTTATGTGTTGGTATTTATACTTTGTCTCCCTGAAGAAGCGGGCTGTGTCCTGTGAAACACATCGGAGAATATAAGCAAAGTATCAACTCGCACTAACTATGCCAGTTATGATACCCAGGCTACCTTAGGCCTTATTTTACAGTGATGTATATCAATTATGCCTGTTGTCAACAATACAAGTTTTTAAGATTAATTTATTATGTGCTCAGTTCCTATTATCTCAATAGTGGTTTCAATTTTATCAATAAAGTTGTACTTGTTACATATATTTTGATTATTTTTGTGGTTTGGTGCCTACAAAACTCCATTCGTTTTTTTTCAGGGATGTTATTTTCAGTGTATTACAGGCATTTATATGGCACCGACAATCTACACAGTGCTTCACAAACTGCACATTCACATCAGTCCTTGAGCTTGCAATCTAAGGTCCTTATCACACAAGCATACATATTAGTATTAGACAGTAGCAAATTATCATATCATCTTGTCTTTTGAAATGTGGATAGAAACACATTTAAGCACAGGGAGAACATGCAAACTTCATGCAGATAGTATCCTGGATGGGAATCAAATCTGGTCTCCTTTTAATTTTTATTTAACTGGTAAGTACTGCAGGAAGAGTTAAAATACCCTGTTCTGAAGCAGGCTGGAAATTTGGACCTTGGCTCTCTCACAGAAAGCAGCAGTCCTTTTCTCCTGCTGACACCCCTTCCTTGGCACAGCGCAACAGTCAACAGTGCCTTTGTCACCTGAGCAGAGCTGTTGATTAGTGCACTGTTTGGAGGGGGCATGTCTGTCTCAAGGAAAAGGTTTGAAAGCTTCAATTTTGATTTAGCAGCACAGTGCAAAGATCATGTATGTTCTGCAATCTATGGCAGGAGTACAGTCGCATAAAGAGCTATAAGCCATTTCATTTACAGGAGAACTGGAAACCATATAATGACAGGACATACTATACATTTAATTTTTTTCTTACTGTCTGCCCACCAGTGTGCCCTTGGAGCTCCACAAATGTTAATACTGACTTCCTGAAAGTCTACACATAGACGCACCCCCACTTGGATCCTACATATACATCACACCCATACAATACCCACACTGCACATTTCTTGAACTAGCTATCAACATCCCTGACTTTAAAGAATACAGTATTGCCAAAGGCATTTTGGGAGGCTCTCTGGGTATTCAACAGATGTAATTAGTGAAACGAAAGATACAGTATGTCTTAGCCTTTTGTTGTTTATGCTTTCTCTGAAAATCTATAGGCCTTTTAGTTACTATAGGTTTACATTAAAGCCGTCCAGTCTAATGAAAAAGCCAAATACAATGTAAAGACATGTAGCTGTTGAAACCATTAAATAAAAACAGTTGTTGTATCCTTGCCTTGCAATGGGAAAGTAGCCAGTTTGCAAACTATTGCTATTAAAAATTCTCTCTCTATGCCCATCTATTCCACCTACTGTTGTACTTACTTTCTCTTAAAAGTTTTGGCCTTTTGACCAAGGTTTGGGAAATCTGGCTTAGCTCAGCCTCTGAGAATGTCTCACTGGATCTAGCCTAGAACCACATTATTAAAAGTGCCCTGAAGGGCTCTGTAGGGAGGCGGTTGGGTGTGGAGTTATGTAAGACTACTCATATATTGCTACAGCTGCTTCAGCATGAGCCCCCCCATACCCCAAGAGATGCAACTACATGATTTCCTTTCTGACTTTGCATCTGTATATTTTCAGGTTTTGAACCAAGTGCACCTGGATGTTTAAGTTCTTAGGGTTTTTTGTTGTACTTAATACAGTAAGGTTGATATATTTAGCGAGCCAGGGTATTGCCCAATTGCTTCTGTTTTGTACACTTTTGCTAGACAATATCAATAAAAAAAAGGATCAAAAGCTCAGACTAAAGAAGCCCATTGATTATGCAGTTTTCTTTTCTTACACCACGGGTGGAAGGAAAGAAAATTGCTTGATGCACTCAACAAAGTCAGTGGTAATGGGGGAATTCCTCCTGCAGAGTTATTGTGTTTTGCTGGTAGGGAGCCTTCCCTGCCTGAAGAACACAATAATCACCGTTGGCGGCCAGTGATTGCATGAAAAAAATCTGACAGGCTGGTTGTACTGAAGTTGATCGGCAGATCGATTTTCTTTTTTTTTTTCTTCTTTCTTTTTTTCTTTCTCCCACCCCTTAATTCTCTTAGGTCGTCTCTTATTTAAAAAAAAAAACTTTTGGAGGGGCTCTGCAAGTGCATTCTCCCCTGCAACATTGTATCCTATACTACAGAATATAATTGAATATGATAGTTTTTAATCTGTAAAGGATTCTAAAGTATTGAACTGAGCAGACTCACTGGATATATAACTTAATTCTCTGTTTTCTTTTATTTTTTTCTTATTTTTTTAATATTATGTAATAATAGTGCATTAATGGAAAATCATATTGTATACATTACAAATCTATTGTATATTTGGACAAGTGGGCATTTTTTGTATTGTAAGGAATGTAATTGTTTGTGTTCAAAATAATTTGTCCCTTTAAATAAAGGATCGACTTCAGTACATCGTGCCTGCCCATAGATGGATTGGAATTTCGGTCTATGGCTGGCTTTACAATGTGAATAAATTGTGTGCTTATTTTATATAACTAGCTCTTATTAGATTTCTTCCTATACTATGCTACAAGTGCTTTACAGAGGGTCTTTGCAATCAGATATTTAAATCCTGCTGTTAACTAAAGTTTGACAAACATCTTTGGCTACATGGATGTGCTGCCATGTGTTCATTCCACTCAACCACTAATACCACTAAATGTGACGGAATTTGCAGACTTAATAATGTAGTCATCTAGCTAGGAAATTAGCCTTGGGAATTGGTGACATTGTGATATTATCAGCATATTATTTTCTCTTCTGCTCATTGAAGGACACAGCTGATCTTCATGACGGATGACTCTGATGTCGGTCTTCTTTCATGATGAAGATCTGTTGTGTCCTTCAGTGAACTCAGAGAAAAGGATTTTACGTTAAGTACAAAAATACCATTATTTTTACCAAATGTATTCTCCTTCTCAGGTTCTACCTATGGATACTTCTGACACCTCTCCAGAAGATGGTGTTTATATTAATGGATTATTTTTGGATGGAGCTCGGTGGGACAAGAAGAGGTTAGTGATTCAATATTCGTTCCACTGTTTTTTCCTTATATTTCCACTGTTTTTTCCTTATGCCTTATTTTATATGGTATATTTTTTTGTGTACAATATGACTTTCAAATTTTTAACTAAGACATCTACGTTTCACATTTCACATGCACTTAATGGTGATGGTTCAGTGTTTTTTTTTTTTGGCCAATCAAACACTTTTTCTATGGCCTTTATTTTACATAAATACCCACACTGGTTTTACTGGCAATCTAATGCCATCCTCCCTGGGCCGTTGGTGCTGAACAAAGCACATCTCATTTCAAAATGGTCATCAGAGCAAAAGAAGCTACATTTCTATTTTGTTTCTCTTTTCTTTGTTAACACTGTGACACTGGATGTCACCCAGGCTGCACTTTTTTTTTTTTATCTCCCTCTCTTCATCTTCATTACATACGGATGGGTAGATAAGTAGTTTTACAGAACATCCAGTTCAGCTCACAGAAAGTGACAAGGACACCACATTTCTGGCAAGATCAACAGGTAATTTTTAGTCTGAAAAAGGAAAACTAGTGCAGTCACCGTATCGAAGGACTGGTAAACTATTAGGTTTTTGTTCATGGGTTTTTTTATCCATTCATTTTTTTCATCTGACTCTCATTTGAAGGGACTATCTTTCCTTCTTAGTTGTCCCTCTTTTTTTTCTGATGTACAGAAGTATATGAAAATGTACCATTTAACTATCAAAAGTGTTATTCTGCACTAAAATCTTTATTCTATTGCTTGCCTATTTTGTTTGCTATTTAAAAAAAAAACATTATAAAGAAAAACAAATGTTCAAATATAGCAATTCTGGGTTTATCCAGTTATTTAGTAAATTCTTAATGGTTTGGGGGCATGGCAGTGATGTGTCTATTGACTAAATATGGTGTGCTAGAAGATGCCCTCTTTCTCATTTGAAAAAGTTGGGATGTGTGTCCATTTTAATCTATGCAGTAATAATGAATTTTCAAAAAGCTGGACAAGAGGAAATGTCTGTGTTGATTACAATGAGCAAACATTAGCCAATCCCCAGTTATAGTGCAGTTTTGAGATTGAAAGACAGAATCCTTGATTTCGGGTCTCCGTATCAACTTGGATAAGACTGTCGCCCTCAATATTACTTTGGCTTCAGATTTGGTTTCGCGCCTACAATCCCACTTCCCTTACAAATGGGCTTCCTCTTCTCTTGAATACTTAGGCATTCGCTTGACCCCCACTTATGACTCCTTGTTTGCTGCGAATTACTATCCATTGCTTAGCTCTCTATCCTCTCTTATGCATTCTTGGCAATTTCCGCACCTGTCTTGGATAGGACGGGTTAATTCGGTGAAAATGACCATCTTGCCCGAAATTGTTGTATTATTTTCGCACACTCCCGGTGCGGGTTCCCCCTCATTTTCTTCGGTTGCTTCAGGCGAAGTTAATGCGTTTTTTTCTGGGCCGATAAGCACCCCAGAGTATCCAAAAGTACGCTTTTTGCCCATAGACTTCAGGGTGGTCTTGGGGTGCCTAATGTGACTAAGTATTATCAAGCAAGCCAGATTGCCCCGCTGTCTATGTTGCACGCCTCTTCCGACGTCCCCCTCTGGGTCCTGTTGGAACTACCTAATTGTGCCCCTATCGCACTATCGACGCTTCTATGGCTTCCCCCTGCCCTGCGCCCTATGGCACTGAGTCCAATGTTACTTCATGGCCTACAAGTTTGGGACTCGGTGCGTTACTCTGGTGGTCTGATGTCACCTTTTCTGCCTTTGCTCCCAATTATTAACAACCCTCTTTTCCCGCCGGGTTTGGATCACCCAGGGGCGTTTTCTTGGTGGGTGACTAATGGTTTTTTTTTTTTTGCGACACTTTTTGATTTTTCGGTCCTTTCCCACCTGGGACTCTCTTCGGGAATCCCGGAATATCCCCCCGGCGGAATTTTTTCGATATCTTCAATTGCGACACTGGCTGCTCTCGCTGCGGGGTACTTCTGCGTTCCCGTACCAGAAATCTGCCTTTGAACAGCTCTGCCAACTGCGTCCGGGCGCTCCGGGCCTTATATCCCTTCTTTATGCAGCTCTGAACAGACGCTCGTCGCATACTTCTCTTTCATATGTTGTTCAGTGGGAGCGCGACCTGGGAGTGGCTGTGGATCCGGAGGACTGGAATAAGGCCTGGTCACTCATAGCTAAATGCTCATTTAATACGACCACACTGGAGGCAGCCTATAAGGTATTGTTTCGTTGGTACTGGGTTCCGGCTCGGCTGGCCCGGGCTAACCCTGCCTGTAGTGATCAATGTTTTTGGGGTTGTGGTCATCGTGGTGATGTATTACATATCTGGTGGTCATGCCCGAGACTGTTCGTTTTTGGTCTCGTGTATTTGGCCTCCTTTTCACCTTGTTCCATCTCTCCATACGCCGGGATGCTCGGTATGCCTTGCTTCATTGCCCCATACCGGGCCTCTTAGCTCACCAGCAGAAGTTGGCTTCCTATCTGTTTTTATCCGCCACTAGAACAATTGCTCAGGCCTGGAAGAGTCCGTTTGTCCCTCTTCAGGGGGTGCGGGATCGTATGACCACTATGATGCTCAACGAACAGATGTCGAGTATTCGCAACGACTCCCAACGTAAATTTTTGAAAATATGGGAGCCGTGGTTGCAATATGCCCTTCCCTCACTCCCCCCGGCTAGTCTGGGGATGTAATGGCGTTCGGTGTTGGCGCTCTTGAATCCCTGCTCTTTGCCCCCACCCCTTTTTTTTTTTTTTTTTTTTCCTTTCTTTTCTTTCTCTCTTTTCTTTTTTCTCTCTCTCTCTGTTTTTGGTGTGACTGGGCAGCTGCATTTAGTTGTTATAACCAGTTACATTACTGTTTTGTAACTTATGTGCCATTGATAGCCCCTGCGTGGGCGTACCTTTTGCCCTGTTGGCATTAGAGCATTGTTTTTTTCCTTTTTTTTTACTTTTGCATATTGTTTATCTGTGCAATTGATAGCCCCTGCGTGGGCGTGTTTTTATTGCCTCTGTTTATACTGTTTAAAATTTAATAAAAACCATTTAAATAGAAAGACAGAATCCAATTGGCTGCTATGGTTTTCTATCATGTTTTTTTCTTTTATAAAGTGTTTATTGAGATTTTCCAAATAAGAACAATATTGCAGAAAGCAGAAGACAATGACATCAAAAGTAATTGATGCCAATGAGACGATAAGAAATTAGAGAAATAGGCCAATAGACCTACAATTACATAGGCAGTACAAGGTAAACTGGTGGTGTAACAGCCACCATCAATGAAGCTGTCACAAGCAGAACAAGCAAAACATGAATATGTCATGTTATTTTCTCCCAATCTTGTAAATGTTGTCTGACTTAGTTATCTTTCTTTGTTTTATGGATGAATCTCCACAGTGGCGTGATGGCAGAACAACACCCCAAAATCTTATTTGACTTGGTGCCGATAATCTGGATAAAACCTAGTAAGTGAATTGTGTAATAAATTATTATTCTGTATTTTATCTAATATTAATATATTATGATCTAATATTACAATTGTATGATACATCTATTGCGTTCATGTTGAATAAGTGACACTCTAGTCCAATGTGTTAATTGTACATAAAAATTCACCTAGTGACAGATACTACCTGCTGAGTGATTCAATTTTCATATAGTGTTCAGCTGGCAGCCCTGCTATCTAAATTCCTAACAGCACCATTTGGGATGACCCTATTTCTGAGCTACAAAAATTAAGTGCCTGTCTATCATTGTGACCAAATGATAGAGAACCATACAGATCGGTTCCGGATCATTAGTGTAGGTCTACAAACCTCCTAAAGAAAGGGCCAGTTTACTGTCCTTCAGAGTTTCGGGGCCAGATTGCACCCAGTGGGAGTAAACAATGCTTGTCTTTGGTATAAGGGGGAGAAATAGCTGGTGTCAGTGGGAGGTACCCCATTGTTGGTGTCAGTGAAAGGAATTATGCCCCATCGTTGGAGTCAGTGGCAGGAATAATGCTTCAAGGACCTGATAAAGGCAGTTTGGAGACCACTGGTGTAGACCAGCAGCTATCAGTGACAGTACAGTCTTAGAACTAAGAGCATGCACAGCTGTGTGCTCCTACTATTACAATAGCAAAAGCAAACCTAGTGCAAACTGAAAATGAATAGTGTGCATTTTTAAAACTTTGTTGGTGAAAACAGGCCCTTCAGTAAGTGATGACCAGTGGTTCAGCGATGCTGTCTATGCCCGTGACAACTAGTTATCTTTTGACATCAGCATGCTGACATCATCATCCTGTGCAGTTTCTGAAGCCTGAGAGGACCCTGCTGTTGAGCATCCAAAAGAAGGTCTACACATCATCCAGGCAGCGATGTGGACACTGAAAGAAGGACCCCCTTCTCTGCAGTGTTCACCGATTTAAGATTTTATTTTGTAACTTGGCATTTAGGGAGTGGGTAGGTGGGAAGATTAATGGTCAGAGATTAGCTTTATAATTAAAATAGGTTAGTGTTCATTTAGCCTTTGCTCCAATAGTCTTTAGAATGGTCTTGGTGAAACAGGGTCTTCTGTTTTTTAAACTCACCAAGGTGTTGAGATATTGGCTACCATCCTTAAATAGAAGATTTGTACCCCCACTGTTCTAATGGGCCTGGACCCTCACAAAGTTTTAGAATTTACACATTTAGCAGAGAATAATAATCTGAAAGAGGTTTAGTTCACTAGGAAAAATGACTGTGGTTGCCTCAAATTCTTTTCTGTCTGCAGCCTTTGTGGAGTGGAATTTTTGCTGTTTTAGAACCTTAATGTAGTTTCACTATAGGAGTGCTCACTGGGATAGTCCTATAAACTGAAAAGCTTATTGCAAATGCCCCTATTCCCTTTAGGTCGTGAACAACTTAGCCTAAGAAATAGCATCTTTTTTTCTTTAGTGGTCCCTTTGAAGCCAAATGAATCCTTCATATATTGCAGACTTGTCATTATCATCAATATGTTTTGTAACCTTAGCCAGGCTACAGTAATAAATCCAAACTTTACTCTTTATTTAGCTGGTAATGGCTACAGCAATGGTTTAAATACCCTGTGCTTCATCAATCTTGAGAGCCAAATTGTTGCTGTCCAACACAAAATGGTGGTCTTGCCCTCCCGTAGTCCCACACTGGTTCTTGAACAGTGAACCTGTCAATAGTGCTCTTGCTACCTGAACAGAGCTGTTGATTGGTGCGCTATTTGGGGGAACTGGCCTCTGCTTTGTGTTGCAAAGTTGTAGTTTGTCTCTCCAAATTGTTGCAGCACAGGATAGTTTACACCTTACTGCGACACTTACCTGTTCAATAGAGTAAATAAGATCAGATGCATTACTATTTATAAAGCCTGGAGGTCTTAGAGTAATAATTTGAGAAGGTTCAAGCGGGCCTTAAATAATTACAAACACAAGATTTACATTGAACAGAAGGTTTTTGTAGTACAGTATGTGACAAGCATTTGTTGATTAATTTTCGTGAAGCGAGAAAGAAATAGGAGAGGAAAAATATTAAAGTGATGGTTCGAAAGGGGAAGAAAATAACAAGAAATTAGAAAGATTGCAGAATGAAGACAGAGCTTTTATAGGATGATGGGGAGGAAGAAATGTAGGACAGAAATGAATTTTGTTGTAGAGGAACATTGCTTTTACCTACACATGACCAAGTATGACAAACTGGACATTTAATTACATGAATTTAGATTCTTTGGAAGATGAGCAGATCAAGTAATCCATGAAGTCAAGAGTGGTGGTACTGGAAGGTAGTAAAGTTGGTCAGAAAATAGTAGGAAGTGAAAGGTTAAAGAGTTGGTTAGAATCAGGGGCGGCCTGACAACTCATGGGGCCCCTGTGGAATAGGGGATCATGGGGCCCCTGTGTCCTCACCAACACCCAAATAAGCCTATGAAAAAGCCAATGAAAGGTACCAAGGGCATCTCATGGGGCCCCCTACTGACTCCGGGCCCTTGGGCAGTGCCCGAGTGTTCAAATGGTCAGTCCGCCCCTGGTTAGAATATTGTATATTGAGTAAGTGAAATATGGTAGAGCTGGTTAAGAGACAGTCCAGGGGGTGAAGTACCATATAGTAAAGTTGGGCAGAAGAAAATACAGTGCAAAAGTAGGTGGTAGTGTCAGGGCTCCCAGGTGTGACCAGAGGTGTGTGGCTGACGCAGGGAAACGCAGACCTCAGATATGTTATAAACAATATAATTTATTAACACTAACCATACAAACATAAACGCAGTGCAATACTAAAACATAATACAGTGCAAACAAACCAAACCAACCACCCACAGATAACAGTACATACAAGCAAGCGTCGTCAGGCAGGCCGGGTCAATATCAATAGGGCAGGTAGGTACAGGGGGAGCAAGCGGAGATGGGTCGGGGTCACAGGCCAGGTTCAGCAGGTAGCAAGCAGCGTAGTACAGAGGGTCAGGCAGAGGGATGGTCAGGAGCGAGCCGGGATCAGAGCAGGAGAAGTCAGCAGCGGTTCAGAAACAGGATGCAGGACAGAAACAGGATACAGGGCCCAGGACAAACACAACACCAAGGCAGAGTCTGTGGGTCTGGCCATCCCTTAAATACCCCAGCATAATCAGTTCCAGGTGTTAGCTGGCTGCAAAGTTGAGTCTCTGATTGCTGGGAGCATCCGCTGGCCAGCCCTGGTACTGATCTTACCTGTTAAATAATACATTGAAGATGTAGAAGATTGTGTAGTTGGTTAGATGGAACATAGAACATAAGAGTTATACAATATTAAAATAAAAAGTAGAGAGTAGTAAATGTGGTTTAGAAGGGAATACAATGGGGATGTAGAAGATAGTACAGATAATTAAAAGGGAGCATACCTTGGGAAGTAGAAGATAGTAATTTGAAGATATTACATTGAAACACTGAGGAAGGTACAGGTGGTTAGAAGGAAGAAAAATGGGGAAGTGGAACACAGTATGTATGTTTAGAAATGAGTACAGTGGAAAAGTAGAAAATAATATAGGATTGTTAGAAGGAAGTACAGTGTGGAAGTAGAAGATTGTAGTTAGAAGATACTACAATGACAAAGCAGAAGATAGCAAAGATAATTAGAAGAAAAAGCAATGGGGAAGTAGAAGATAATACAAGTGGTTAAAATGAATGAAGTAAGGGAGTAGTAAATACAATATTTTAGATGGTTGGAAGAGAGTACAGTGGAGATGTAGAACTTAGTACAGATGGTAAGAAGGGAGTACAGTGATGAATTAGAATCTAGTAGAATTGGTCAGAAGCAAAGTTTGCTAGAGCTGAACCCTCTGTAGATAGTAGAGTGGTAACAGAGGTAGACAACAGAGAGAACAAGACAGATAATGTTTGGAGGAAGTGGAAGGTAGATCACTAGAAAGCAGAGCACAGTAGAGCAACATGACTTGAAGTGGTTTTAAAAGCTTAAAAGAGATGTGCGGGATTTCAGGTTTTCCCCAAATCACACTTACCTAGATGAATGCAGCATCGGTCTGATACTGCATCTGTCTCCCGCCGGCTGTAAGTGAGAGAACTCAGCGATCACACATCCACTGAGCAGACAACAGTGACTGTTGCTCACTGGAGCGCTGGGCTGTGGAGGGGGAGAGAGTGGCTGACTCAGGCTCTCAGTGGATCCCTGAAAGGCTGAGCCAGGTGCCGCTCCAGACTCTGGGGTGGATCCCAACTGTAAAGTCAGGATCTTTGCCCAGCCTGGCTTGGCTGAGTGACGTCAGCCGACAGCGGGCTTCAGCCTGCTGTCATCTGAAAACGGGTCACAGGAGTGCAGAACGAACTGCACTCCTATGATCTACAGGAGAAGTACAGCTAAATGAGCTTTGGCTGTACTTCTCCTTTAAGGTTGTTAACCTTAATGTATTCTTTACATTAAGGTAAAAAAAAAATACTTACCTGGTCCGATCTCGATCCAGCGCTGTACCCAAAAGCAGCAGCTCTCTCAGCTCTTTCCTCAGAAGAAAAAGAGACAGTAGTGCAGGCCACTGGCTCCTGCTGCTGTCAATCAATTCCTGTGACATGGCAGGGCCAAACTGCACTGTCTGTCTCTATGGATGCAGGCAGTGCAGCTCGGAATTGAGCATACACAAGTGTCCCCATAGGAAGTAGCTTTGTATGGGGGCACCCTCCAAAGAGGACGAGCCAGGAATGTCAACGGGAGATCCCAGAAGAAGAGGTTTGGGGCCGCTCTGTGCAAAATCATTACACAGAGCAGGTAAATATGACATGTTTTTTTATTTTAAATAAAACAAAAAGAAAAAAATTACAATCACTTTAAATTAGGAAGAATCACAGAAGATGAAAGAAATATGGCCTAATCAGACAGTACCTTAAAACTAATACCAAATTTATACCCATATTTTCAGATGATATGCTATAATATGTTTTATATTTTGTGTCTCTAGATAAAAAATCTGATATAAAGAAGACCAAGTCATATGTGTGTCCTCTCTACAAAACCAGTGAACGGAAGGGCACCCTGTCCACTACAGGCCACTCCACCAACTTTGTCATTGCCATGCTGCTGCCAACAGATAAACCAGTCCAGCACTGGATAAAGAGAGGGGGTCGCCCTCCTCTGCCAGCTAGATGACTAAGAACATGCTCACTAGCATATTGCACTAGCTCACTAGAATTATGCATGTCGCCACGTATCTGTCTACCAGATGTTATCTATCCTTTTTGTACTGCGCTTTGGGAAAACAAATGCAGTAATAAATTGAATTGGCTTTTACAGCAATGCAGTCATTCAGTAATTTTTTTACCCAAATAGAACTATACCCAAATTTCATATCTTGCTTTTATATATGAAAAATTACACCAACATCATATAATGACTTTATTGTGTAAATGACTTAATGTACTTCCATAATCTGTGTATTTTCTTGATCTTGTTTTTTAATCCTTATTATAACTGAACTCAGAATTAATTTCTAATGCACATATAAAAGTACTAGGAAATCAGACAATAAGAATTGTTTAACAAGGCATCTTATATAGCAGTGAGGATGGGCAAAGTACAGTAACTCATAGCAACCTATGCAGTTTTTGTTTGCTATGTTCACATCAGTTAAGTGGGAATAATGGACTAGCTGCGATGGATTACTGCATTTTGAACATTTAATCCTTTATGCTGCTTCACTTAATGAAATCAAATGGCGAGAATAAGAATGGTATTTATGCCATTAAAGGGCACCTGTGCCCAGACTATGGACATTAAAGTATATACTTAATCTTAAAAAGTGATTAATGAGCTTTAAAACAATTATCATTGACCTCTATAAACTAATTGTATTGTGAAGGTGTTTATGCTCAAAGATCTTCAAAGAACACAACAAAACGCTAAGGTCAGTTTCAGTCCATTTACATTAGAGGTATCGTGTACCAGGGGAGACTGAGTAGATGAGGGGGCTTCTCTTGCACCTCCTGCCCAACACTCTTGAAAGTGGTGACAGGAAGTGTGAGGGCATAGAGTGGTACGAGTGCAGAGGTCTGCAGTCTGAACCATATCTATGTTACAAATGGATTTGTAGAACTGAAAACTGAAGATCAATGAGCAGGAACCAGGTACAGATTGAATGTGGTTGGAGATCTGGAGTCAAAGACAGAGTCCAAGGAACAAGCCAAGGTTAATAACAGCTGGGCAGTGTGGTACTGAATCAGAAGGCAATGGCACGGTCCAGGAAACAAACTGAGGTCAGTAACAGTCAGGTAATGGGATACAAGGAAGTAGCAGTGGAGTCCAGAAGGCAGGTTGCAACAGAGAAGCAAAAGTGCAGAGGCAGGTTGGGAGGCAAGTTTGGTCATATACAGTTAGTCAGAATTAGTAGGTCAGTTCTCAGGTAAACAAGGACAAGATGAAGACCACTCAGCAACTTCCTTCTGCAGAGCTTCAGCTTATATAGGCCACTGGGCACCAATACCAGTGCCAAGTGTGCATGGTAATTTTTGCATACACTGATGCGTATGTGTCTACTACGTCATGCATGTCCAGTATTAACCTTATGCACAGAGGTATGGGCAGCATAATGAGCATGTGAATACGTCTGCACTGGTTTCCTTATACTGAGAAGAATTCCACCTTCCTAACAAAAGGGCTGGTAGGCTGCCTTTGCTACATAGAATCTAGCTGAGATTACAGTGCCTCCATAGTGAACTTTGAAGATTAACTTCACAGTACCTATCGCTATAAAGGTGAATGGTGGCTTAGTTTAAAGTATTTTTACAGCTTGTTTCAGAATATATAAATATTTTGGTGTTAAAATTCTGGGCACAGGTTGACATTAGAGCCACCATATGAAGGCAATCAGTCAACAGATAATAAGTTGTGAACCTTTCCCCCCCTGGTCACATCGGGTGCGACTTGGCATACGATTTGCATGCCATGCGACTTGCAAATCGTATGCCAAGTTGCACCCTATTGACCGCTATTACAGCTGTCCTATCGGTGCGATTCGCACCGATTTCTGTGTCAGATGTCTTGCAAATAGCACCTCAAATCGGCAAGTCAGCTGACTTTGAAATTGTGCTACTTCACTTTAAGTCACACAATTTCAAAATCGGCTTTGATGTGACCGAGGTGTCAATTGATTTTCCAGCCTGAGAGAGAACTCTGTGATCATTCTTTCACCTAAAAGAAAAAAAAAACAAATGGATTCTGCTCCACTCATGTGCTGCATGAGAACAATGGCGCAATGCGCCATATACTTGCAAACCAAACAAGCATTGACAGATCACTCCCCTTTCATAGTTTTCAGTGAGACAACTACTCTTTTTATGACCAAATGTTTTCTTTCTTAATAACCACCAATGCAGCAATACCTTATTTACCAGTTTCTTTAATTTATATTTTATACATAACTTTTGCAAAATGATTATTCTGACTATTTCACAAGATCTGCTTCTCATCTTACAAAGAAAATCCTAATTTATAAGTGCTGTGGTGACAAAGTTCTGTTTAAAGAAAATCTTATTTTTATAACTTATTAACATGGTTACTGCTATGGTGACAACTTTCTGTTTAGTCTCTGTCATTTCTGGTCATACAATATATGTATATTGTGTTTTTTTATGCTCACTTGTTGGTTAAATTAAAATTAAATTAAAAATGTTTGCTTTTGACAATTCTTTGGTGAGTGATGTATGGGTTCTGCATTATCCATATGTTAATATAAATATCTGACCATCTTCAAGGTCGTTTAAGAATGCTATGTTTTTAAGTGCCTGAGCATTTTACAACCTATTTATTGTCTGTTAACAAACACAACTCAACTTTATATGACAGTATTATATGGGCACCAGGATGCTGAAAGAGTTGGCTTCTTATAGCTACTGAATAATTTCAGTAATGTTTCCTGGTGAGTTAATCTCTCCCAAAATACCAAAATGATGATGTCATTCCATTTCAGCTTATTTACCCAATTATTTATTACATCATAAAAAATCCATTGATAGAGCTGGACACAATCATTTGTCTTCATAATAGCAGCAGTATATGGGCAGAGCTGAAAATTATGAGGAAGTTATCTTACTGCTGGATCTACCCCAAGAAGCCTTCAGGAGATTCAGCTGTAGGCAGAGTAGCTTATAAATTATCTTGAAGTTGCTTATAAGTTACTTATAAGGTACGTTAGTTGACTTCAGTTATGTTTTAGTTTAGCGCAGGGTTGTCTGACTTTGTCCCGGGACATAGGTGTTGGTACAGTATGTTAGTATTGGACTACATTTTGTAGTACAGATAGATAATGGGAAAGCATACAACAGTAAGCTTCCAATGGTCACTAAGCATAAAGCTGTCCATACACATTATATTCTGATTGCATCATACACTGCTCAAAACAATTAAAGGAAAACTTTTTAATCAGAGTATAGCATCAATTCAATTAAACTCCTGGGATATTGATCTGCTCAGTTAAGTAGCAGAGGGGGGTTGTTAATCAGTTTCAGCTGCTTTGGTGTTAATTAAACTAGCAACAGGTGCACTAGATGGACAACAATGAGACGACCCCCAGAACAGGAATGGTTTTACAGGTGGAGGCCACTAATACTTTTTTCCCTATTCATCTTTTCTGTTTTTCACTAGTTTTGCATTTGGCTAGGGTCAGTGTCAGTACTGGTAGCATGAGGTGATACCTGGACCCTACAGAGGTTGCACCAGCAATCCAACTCCTCCAGGATGGCACATCAATACGTGCCATTGCCAGAAGGTTTGCTGTATCTCCAAGCACAGTCTCAAGAGCATGGAGGAGGTTCCAGGAGACAGGCTGTTACTCTAGGAGAGTTGGACAGGGCCGTAGAAAGTTCTTAATCCATCAGCAGGACCAGTATATGCTCCTTTGTGCATATAGGAACAGGATGAGCACTGACAGAGCCGTACAAAATTACCTCCAGCAGGCCACTGGTGTGAATGTCTCTGACCAAACAATCAGAAACAGACTTCATGAGGGTGGCCTGAGGGCCCGACATCCTCTAGTGGGCTCTTTACTCACTGCCTGGCACCACAGAACTGATTGAACATGCAAATCAGTACATCATTTGTTAAACATGCATTTTTTTTGAATTTTTTGTTGCTATTCTGTCTCAGTGTTACAATACACCTACCATTTGATTTTTAGACTGATCGTTTCTTTGTGAGTGGGCAAACATTCAAAATCAGCAGGGGATCAAATACTTATTTCCTTCACTGTAGTTAAAGTGATATTAAACCCTCAGTTTTTAAGCACATATGCAGCTTATTTATTCACTTACTGCGCATACAGCATCTTTATCTTTTAATCCTTGCCTGTGTTCCAGTTTAAGCTGATGCTATGCTCACTGCCTCAGGTTTTCTTTGTCAGGGTGGCTCCTTTCTCTTGCAGCATCTTATGGAGCATGCAGGGACTAGAGTTGTGTATCCCATGTACATCAATAAAAACATACAGCCCCATAGCCTATGATGGCAAAGCATTCCTCTCGTCCTCCTTCTCTTCTCAAAGCTAGCAGACTTACTGGAGACTACACTGTCCACTGTTAACTCTTTCTTGTGAAGAGCAGATGTTCAGGGAAGCAACACTGAGACAGCATAAGCCAGCAGCATTGAAAGGTAAAAACTGCAAGTACCAATAATTACAACAGTATATATTAAACCATGCACTTAAGTGTTGTAAATATGCAGAAAATAACTTTGTGACACCAGGTTGTACAGATTGTAAAGTATGCAGCATGAAGTGTGTTTGCGGTAGTTATCTTGGCGTGTGTATGACTTTGGCATACACTGAATCAATTCTTTTATTAATCAGACAGTTTTTCAGTTAAACCAAACACAAAAGAAAGCAAGTGCAAAGGATAAAAGAAGGAATATAGAAATCATACTCCTTTCCACACTGTCATCCACATAGGTATAATACAAAGCTTCTATACATTGTGTTGGATCAATAATAATAAAACAGTAACAAAATAATGGAGGAGTTTTTCATAGAAGTGAACATAGCGTCTATATTTTTGGGGTATGGTCCTTTCTTCACAAATAAAGTATTACTATTACTAGTAATGTCAGTTGACCAACTGCAGGATATTATCAACTCATGAGCATATGTTAAAGTAATAAGTTGCGTTTCCT